TTCATTGCTTTCACTGTAATTTATTTTTTTTATTATTTAGGGAGCATTATAAATAGTTATGTTTTTAAAAGAAAAAACTACTATTGTTATAAATAACACATTCAGTTGAACTAAACTATGCATGCCTATTTAAATATATTTACACATGGTTTATGTATATCGTATATATACAAATATATTAATCATACCTTCGGTGTATAGGACGCAAGCAGATTTTGACATCAAATTTTGGGGTAAAAAAAATGCGTCTTATACACCGAAAATTACGGTAACTAAAATAAAATCCAGACATCCCATTTCAACAACTTTATTTCACTTATTTTACATGTTTGGTTAGTCTCTGTTTATGACTGGGACAAGCTTGAAATCCACTGGGACAAGCTTGGAATCTGGGTTTTGGTATAAGCTGCGCAATATGCGATTTTATATAAGTATCTCGAAGCTTAAGATAACTGTGCTTATCTGAAAGTTCCTAGAAGACAAAGCAGCAAACGCTTGGCCTGTTCATTGCACATCTAGCGAAAAACTGTCTACTAATGCCATGCAGGGAGGGGTATTGTTCTTGTCTGCAAACAGTAAAATTCAATCCAGACTTTAGAGCTACAACGCGTACCATTTTATGCTTCAGAGCTTATCTACCACTTCTTCTCAAAACACAGTCCCAACCACCTGTATTTATTCAGAGAAATGATATAACATACCGGTAATATTACTCTTATGCTATGACACATCGGTAATATTACTTCTGGCATGTTGGTCACAGCTCATATTACCAACAGCATTAGCTAAGCCTCGAAAAACACCAATCCTGTTAAAACGATGAGAAGAAAAACGTTCGCATAGATCATCCCTGTATCACCCATATTCTCTTTGTATAGCGTAAAAGCCATAGCACATCTTAAAATCTACACCACAAACTATGCTCGCGTTGTTTTTGAAATTGAAACACTAATAAACATATAAACATTTACTACTAACACATAAACATTAAATAGTGACATAGCGTATGTCTTTTGGAAAAGTTGCTGTGTTTACTACAGTGTGTCCGAAAAGTCGGAAACCATAAGTGATTTGCATCTTTTCTTAATTTCGGATACGTGACCGATTATGGCGCTGTCAAAGCATGAGAAAGCCGAGTTTGTTTGTTTGTTTGTCTGCTTGTTATGAATTTCGCGCAAAGCTACAGGAGGGCTATCTGCGCCCCCGCCGCCCCTAATTTAGCAGTTTAAGACTAGAGAGAAGGCAGCTAGTCATCACCACCCACCGCCAACTCTTGGGCTACTCTTTTACCAACGAATAGTGGGATTGACCGTCACATTATAACGCTCCCACGGCTGAAAGGGCGAGGATGTTTGGTGTGACGCGGATTCGAACCCTCGGCCCGCCAATTGCGAGTCGAGCGCCCTAACCACCTGACCATGCCGGGCATGAAAGCCGAGTTAATCCTGCTGTTAATTCAAACGTGTTTCGAATTACAATGACAGCATGTGGAACACATTCTGTAAAATTTGTTGAAGTGCCTATGGTTCCAGAGTTTTTGGAGACCCTGTATTGTGTTAGTGGTATTAAGATTTTCGAATCATAGACGGCAGGATATGTTTCGTTTGCAGCTTTTTAATATTGCAGTTAATATACGATATTTACAGTACAGTGAGAGCAGAGTTTCTTCCGCCAGGCAAGACGAGAAGAAAACCAAGCTTTCAGTAAATATTTTCGAAATAAATGTACAGTGATGTGTAAAATGGCTATTTAAAACATAATATGTACACACTGCACTAAACATTTCCATTTTTTTTTCTTTTTTTTTCTCTCCCGTTTTACTGTCAGTGCTGCTTCTAATCTTAGCAGATAATATTCTCATGTATTCATACATAATACGCATAGTTGTGTATGCTCACACCTCTAGTTAATAGTTCGAAAATTGCGCAATACATATATTCAGCTACAAATTTCAGTTTTACTATGATTTTAAAATCGTATAACACTAATAACATAATAATAAACATACCATATTTTCTAAAAGAAATATGCTATGTGACTATATATGTTTTTCATTCTATTTGCTACAGACTATTTTCCATCTCATGGAATATTCTCTCTCTCTTCATGGTATGTGGTGATGACTAGCTGCCTTCCCTCTAGTCTTACACTGCTAAATTAGGGACGGCTAGCGCAGATAGCCCTCGTGTAACTTTGCGCGAAATTAAAAAAAACAAACAAAAATCATGGTATGTGAATATACATTTGTTTTTTCTGCCAACTACCACTGATTTCCAATTCTTTCCAAACTTATAGGTGAATCTTATGCTACGATCCCAGTAACTTTCAGTACGGCATTTCACTGCATTTTCAGTCTAGTGATTACTGTCCAGTTTAATGGTAATAATACTTTTATTTTTCTATTTGGTAACTCTCAGTATAAGTATTGGTACATCATTTTAGTTATATGTACAAACCAATAAGTTCTATATTGTTCATCTATCTCTCTATATAAATATCTTACCAAAGAACTAGAGGTACTATCACGTTTTCTACTTATTTATTGTTCAGTAATTATTATTGTTAGTTAGTATTTCGACGTGCTTTTAGAATTTAACAATTCAATTGATGTACAAATATTCCTGTACTGAAAGAATAGGGTATTAAAGTGCTTACCATATCTGTTGGCAAACCGTACTGATTAGCAAATAACAGGACAGTTGTGCCAGGTGGAATAACCCCATACAGAAGGCTGAAGTCCTGAAAAATTATAGAATTGTTGCCTTCATCCACTGTCAATTTAACGAGGGCATGATTGATAAAAGGAGACGCTATCCTATAAAAAGCGAAAGAATGAAAATTGAAACTATCAAAAATAAATAAAACTCCATTGGGTCACTGGCCCAAATATATAAATGTGAAAGCGAAATTAAATAATTATTATTTGAAATATTATAAAACTAGCAATCAAAGCTTACGAGTAGTTAAACTGTGCACTTGATAACAAAAAATAGTATACATGGTTAACTTACATTTTTACGATAAAAAGCATTCCAGGTAGGAATAAACTTTCACCGCGAAGTAAGACTAATTTTCCGACCATAGATATTCCTAGGAGAAATAGCACTGATCCAGCAAATGTGGAAGCTAGAACCTGATGATGAGAGAATCCAGTAAAAGACTTAAAGAAGATAAGTAAAATAGCATTCTTTGTTTAACTAATATATAAATATAACAAATAATCAATTTAGTTTAATTTAACTAAAAGATATTATTAACCTAACGATCACAACTGAAACTTTGTATGATAACACAATTAAGTACAAGTTTCACGTGGCAGTTACTGTTTTATGTTTTACAAGCTTACTAAAACTTAAAATACATCATGTTACCAGGTTCAGTAAAATAAGACAGATTTTATCTACTTTTCTGCCTTCTCCCTATATGAGCTTTCATAACAAAACCTAACGTGTCTGTTACACTGTACATAGCTAAACATAACGCGTCTGTTAGACGATATATAGCTAAACATAATGTGTATGTTAGACGGTACGTAGCTAAACATAACGTATCTGTTACACTGTAGATAGTTAAACATAACATGCCTTTCACGGAACTATTATGATATTGTTAGGGTGATTATAAGAAAAGTAGCCTTATGTAAAATTTAAACTTTTGTTTCTACGTAGCTTGTTCAACTTATTCTGAACAGATTTTCAGTAACCTGTTGCCTAAATTTTGCGGTTTATTCATGTAGATCCGAAGGTTCCACTCCTAAAAGGAAATTAATTATTGTATTTATTCAAAACACTGTAATTTAAAACACATATTTAGCAAGAAGCAATATATATAAAGATACCTGTTGTGTTTGTTTGTTTGTAATTAATCACGAACCTAAACAATGGGCTCTCTGTACTCTGCCCACCAAGGGTACCGAAACCCGGTTTCTAGCGTTGTAAGTCTGCAGGCATACCGGTGTGTTACCTGTTGTGTATGTAATGATTCGAAAAATTAGATGTATTAAACTCAGGCAATACTGATGCTGCTATAGAAGCATTTGAGGCATTTTACGCTATTTTCAAATGCCTCCAGGACTAAGAAATATAATTTTATAAAAATTATGAGACACATGCAATACAAAGAAAAGCTGTGCGTATTTAACGAATGCATAAGAGAAGTTACATAATGACACTTGACCAATAAAGAAAATGCATATGTCAAGTATAAACTAAGATACATCCCAGGTGGTATTGAGGACCAACTGTTTATGTTATTGACATAAAACAGACGTAACTGTAGCAAAGAGAAAGCTATGAGAAATTGTATGTTAAATTCACTCTAAAAGGATTAAGAGAGGAAATCAAAGACTCTTAGCGGAACTTTGATCTGAAGAAAACGAGGAGAAATACATGCAAACAAGCTGCTGATTTACCTGGATTTTAAATATATCTACTGATAACTGGATTTAAATTGCACTCCAAACGACTGGCCTACATGGCGTCTCGTTACCTATGCAGTTAGTGGGATATTTATAGTAAAGTGAACTTTCTGATACTATACATCATAGACATGTTTCTGAAATATCTTTGTATACTGACACACACACACACACGGACTCAATTAACAAAAGACGAACAATACTTAGAACACACTTGTGTTATACACTAGGTTGTGTAGTTCTGCTTACTTTTAGAATGACATAAATTATGTCAGGCAGCCTGGATTGGAAAGAAAAGTTAGCGATGATACCCAAAACGGTAGCTATGATTACAGGATTTTTAATGATTCCAAGAGCAACGATCCAACTAAGTTTAAATACATGCTTGGCATGTTGAAGAAAGGTTGAGGACTGAATGCCTTGGGTTGTCTTCTCCTTTTTATCATCATCAGCAGCTAAAGCCTCCTGTTTGTTATACTGGCGAATCTTTTCGACTTCCATAAGAATGAAACTGACTGGATTCAGGAGAGCCAAAGTCAAAGGTGTCAGCAGATACATATAACGAGGAAACAGCGGTTGTGTGGTGGCGTAAAGAGCTGATACTGCGAAAAATAAAATCAAACATGAATATTAATTTCTAAAAGCAAAATACAAAATATATATAATCGAAAACTAAATCACAAAATTTATTATTATTCATTGTAAAGGAACATTTCAATTTAGATGTGTAAAATGAAACCTAATGTTATAGTTAGCAAAGAAAAAACTAGATTCGTTTAAAATAATGCATTTTATAAGTTGGGTGATATGCAGAAACGATAGTGACAATGAAAGAACAATAAATAATATTTAAAATTTTCATAATGAATAACAAGAACGGACCAATAAAATTTAAGCTAATTACCACCGTAACGAGGTAATTTCAACACATTTTCAAAAGCTACTGAAAAAAATAATAGCGCTATAAGAAAGCCATCTGATTACCATAATAAACGTTCTAAAATATCTTGATATTTTGGAAAGAGCTCACCTTGTTCACATAAGTTTTCATTGATATAGAATGATTGGAAACTAAACGGCAGAAAACTCGTAGTTACTACTTCAAGGAGCTCTTTTTTAAAGGATTCATTACAATATTAAAATACAGCATATAAATAGTAATATGGTTTTAGAGATGCATTGCTATGGTCCATACATGCGACATAAAAGTGTATTTCGGTAAAAGAAGACACCACCAACAAAGAATTGTAAATCAAAATAAACAACATGGCATAAAAAGTTAAACACATTGTGCTCACTGGAGTGAAGCAACCGACGAATTTCGCAAATTATCGTTTGCTTGAGGAGAGGTAGAAATTTAGTAAGTTCATTCTTCCACACTTTAACTCGAACTGTACTTCAGAATGAGTTTATATTTGACATTCAACACCATTACTGGTGTATTAGCACTAATAATTATTATTTAACATAATAAGTCATTCACTACTTTAGAAATCATATACTCCTAGTATGTTTTCTTAAAGCACAATACTGCACAATAAACTATTTGTTCTGTTTCCACCGAAGGGATCGAACGCCAATCTTTAGTGTTGTAAGTCGTAAAGCTCACCGCTGAGACACCGAGAGACCTTTTATTAAACATAATTATATTTAGTTGTGCCATTAACATTATAATTCCGTTGTAATACCTTTAAAGGTAGGGTATCGTCTTAGAAAAAATTATCTGCCATCACCTCATTCATGTGGCAGACTGCCCTCCTCGTGATTTTTAACAATGTCTAAAACTCTTATGAAACACAAGTATTTTTATTTTAATGATCAAACAGTTAAGGTTGAAACTGATTTCAGAAAACGTTATATAGCATGTTCTGTACCCTAGGACAGACAGCACTGTCCCTTTAAAACTGAATATATATTGTTGTGGGTATTTATAGAAATTTCAAACAAAGCAGCTCTGTTGAATTTAAACCGAACGTGGCCCAGTGGTTAGTGTGATGGATAGTGTATCCAAGATTCCGTGGCTCACATCCAGTTACCTTAAAAAGATGCGCTTTGCACTTTAGGTGCATAAAAAAGCTGGTGGCATTGACAAGCTGCCTTCCCTCTAGTCTATCACGCCAAAACTGGTGACAACTAGGACATCTTGTATGTTTTCGCGAAAATTAAGACTGTTAGTATAGAAAAAGTCAATATCAAAATTAGCACAATAAACATTGCTATCAAATTAAACATTTTGTACTTCCTCAGAAAATTCAAAACTGTTTTTCAAAGTATACTTATTAATAACATACTTCTTCGGGAAATCAGCAATAATACCGTGAAATCATTATTGTAGGTTCCAATACTTGAAACAATAGGCCTTAATGGAAATCCTTCTTTATCCATATTAGAAAGCCCAAAGGAAATCTTGGGATGACTCCCTGATGATATTGTTTTCGAGTGTTGTACTTTAGTTAACACATTACCTATCTTTAGTTTCATTGGATAATTGCACAGTTTTGTTTCTCTACTATCAGTAAGATCTTGATCAAGCCTTGCAAATTTAGTTGAATCACTCTGAATATGATTCCTTTACTTAGGTATTTCGTTTTATCAAGAATAACTATATTATAACCTTTATCTGATTTATTAATAATTGTGTTGTAAAGTTCACTAAGTTTTTTAATGCTAACAATTCTTCCTTACTTATATTTAAAAGTTGATAGACCGAACTCTAGTTAGTAAAAGAAGTTAAAGTATTCCATTAACTTGTGTTATTACTGAAAGATTGTCTAGATTTAGATTGTCAGAATGTCAAAAAATAATCTTCAAATTTTAATTTACTAGGTATGCTAAATTTTAAACTAACAGCTAATACTTCTTTTCAATCATTAAGATATAACTGAACAAATAAAAGTTATAGCACCCAGTTGTTCCATAGCTGAGTTTTAACTTGATATCGTCTTAAGTGAGTTAATTTATTTTAAAATATTTTTCTACATTATACAAAAGTGTTGTTGTATTTATACAAATTTTGTTATTTTAATAAACTACCGAGTTAAAGATTTAAACAATAGGTTCTTTTTTAGTTTAATTTCAAAGCTCAACAGTTGTTTTTAAACTTTATAATACTTTTTGGAGTGATGACATTAAGTAATAGACATTTTAAAAAAATTGATAATAAATTTAATTTTTTTATATTTGTTAAGCAAGTCTATATGCAACTTTTTGTTGCATATAGTTTTGTAATATTTAGGATGTAGTTCTTTTGCAATCCTAAACTGTAGAACAATATTACTTTATATTAATGTTAGCAATGAATTTCAAAAAGACCCAAAACTCGAGCGCTTTCGAGTAGTTGACTATTCTTCTTCAGGATAATAAAGGGCATTTTTTAAATATTGGTGAATATATTTCAGTCTTTTTTTCATTCAGTTTTCTAAGTAGTTTCAAAGCTTTGCTAGGATTGAGATTGGGCAGCTGTGTTGGAATAAACGTTTAGTTTGAGAAGAATGGAAGATTTTGCTATGGGACGAGGAGAAAGTTAAGGTCAATTAGGTTTAGAAAGTCATCAGATTTAATACTTAGCAGAATGTTGCTTGGAATAAAATGGATATCGTTGGAAAGGTTTTGTTTAAGGTGTGCAGAAGATTCTGCGTTTGGAAGGAGAAAGTTTCGGAGATTGTGAAATTTGGTAGGTCGTCAGGCTTAGGACTTGATAGAAGGTTAAAAGGAATAAAAGTGGAAGTTTTAACTTATGCATAAGTACAGCATTTCGAATAGTTCCAGGAGAAGTAGTGATAGAAATTTGGTTTGGGTTGAAAGGTTGTGAATAAGACAGGATTCTTGAATTGGGTGTCAGGTTTAGGGCTTAGGGAAAGAATACAAGAAACAGGGGTGGAAGATATAATTTCCGCATAAGTACAGCATTTAGGAGAATAGTCAAATTTAGTTCCAGAAGAGCAGTGATGGTGTTTGAAAAATGCAGTAGAAGAGTGCCATACAGATGTATGTTCTTTGGGTTGATACATTTTTAATGAAACACGCTTTTTGGATTGGATATGAGGAATAGAAGAGGTTGGAAGAGATTTAGGACTATGGGCTTTTGGTTAGTTTACGCTTGAGTATTCAGTATTAGTTTATAGACAAGGGAGAATATAGTTAGTAATAAAGAAACGTAAATTACAGGATAGGGAACTGATTCCTTTGAAAGAAAAATGTAAACCGTTCTTTGCTAAGAAATGTATCCTGGTTACAGATTCAAAATTAGTGTTGTAAAGGAAAGATAAGCGTGGGTTATGTGCGATTTAATAGCACAGATTTGTTGTATTACAAGCAGATCAGTATGTCTATTGACGTCACGGTAAATAACGCTAAAAGAAACAAGTACGAAAGTCAGTAGAGTGAGTCAAAAAATGTAATAGTAAACTTTCAAGTAAGTCGTTAAAACAATCATAAGCCGTCGTTGCGTTCCGTTTTAGGTCCTTAGTTCCTATGTGAAGAATTAGACTTTTCACAGTCCGTGGCGGTAAAGCTACAGCGTCTAAAAGATCAAGTTAGGTGGCTCCACGAACGGATTTATTTAGAATATGTTGGTTGTTAATGTAAGTAAGGTGTTGATGGAGGTATTTAATAACAGAATATTGAAAAATGGCAATGTAAGGTGAAAGAAGAGGTAACTTCAGGAGAATAAAGAAAAAGAATAGTGAAGTATTCGAAAGTGCTCGAGTTTTTGGTCTTTTTTGTAATTTAGTGCACCTTTTATATGTGATCCTGTATTTCAACTCTTCTGTCAAAGTTACTAATGTTAGCGATAGACCCATTCTTTAGAAATTTCAAGAAAATCACTAATTCAATACCATAAAGGCTATTAACTACATATTGTGATGTGAACACCATAATGAAATCTATTAGTACTATACCTTATATGTTAAACTAGTACCAGAAACCATAGCTTATTTATAATAATTAAATAACCCCTTATTGAAAAATCCCACTCAACTGATATTTAGATGTATAATTTAAAGTGAGACAGGGATGTCAAATGGTATGTCTCCGCCTACTAGAATCAGTGCTTCCGCTTGTAGGGCAAATATTTAGGTGTAGTGTTATATTTAATAGGGTGAAACTCAGTTTTATGTCTGAAAACATGAGATATGTTTTAAATAACAGCAGATTCACTTTTATTATAAGGTGCGGGGCTGTGCGATAATTATAAAAGTATCACAAAAATCTGCAGACAGCTCACAGCTTAAAGCCACCAATAAAAGTAAAGACAGCGTTCAAATACCGAACATTTATAGATTTATTATACCAAATGGGTATTAAGATCATTACTTTCATTATACTGATTATTAATGTCTAAGGTAAATTGTAGGGTAACTCGTGTAACGAATTTGTTATTATATATTTATTTTAATATCGACGTTATTTAGATTAAGTTTATATTTAAAAACATGCATAGCTAGTAGTGCTAACTATGTATTGCGAAACTCCCGCCTATTCTCAAAATTGTAGAAGATTCTCGAGAGTAAGAATCAACAATATATGTATATACATAAACGCTTTAACTTGTATTGTTACGTAATCTGAATTTTCTAGGAAATCTTTCCACGTCTATAAATAAAATAAACGCGACGCACCAAAAGAGAGTGTCTATTATTAGTTCATATAGTCAGTGTGCTATAAAACTTCGGAAGCTATAACTGTGATTGTTATAACGCTTATCAATCGGAAAACTTCATATATTTGACTAGGAATATTTACAAAGTTCAAACATTACAAATTATTTAACTTCAGTGGATTCTCATCGGACATCAGTATTTTTACGAAAACATTATATAAATTCATCGTGGAGAGCTCAGCGTGTGTGGCCGGTAAATAACCTAACGTCATCAGTGGAAACTCAATTTCTAATAGGCGTATGATCAGCGAGAGCTACAGGGCTAGCTCCCTACTAAGTGAACTGTACCTATATCAACTCGTTCATCGTGAACCCTCGATAAGATATCAAGGAAGTTCCAGACTAGAAAGAAGACTTTATATTGCGTGTAAGTTTGTGAAACTATTGTTTATAAGTCATTG